GATTTAAATTTCCACACGAGATATAGTTCGTTAAAAGTTATATATACACATTGCTGTAATTGGATTAGACACTAGTAACTAGTGTGATGTGTCTGGTCCTATCTTTGGTGCAGACTGAATTCTATCAGTCCATCAAGTTTGCAATAGATAGAACTCAGTCTACACCGAACAAAGGATTAGACATGTTACACTAGTTACTGACTAGTGTCCAATCAAAAATATCCAATACACTCCTGTAGGAGGTGAATCGAGAGCCAGCCCGAATGGCTCATTGGTGTAACATCTCTGACTGCAGCTCTCGGTGGGTGATGCAGGTTCGAACCTCAGAAAAGACATGACTCCCTTCAAGATTGCAGGTACGCCTTGCTGACTGACTGGTGAGTTCCAACTAGGTCCAGGGTTTCCTGGTGATTGCCTCCAATCATCTAATGCATATGACTGTATAGCTTGATAATGAATCCATGGAAATTTCCCATTGGTACATATAGAATATCAAGACAAGTGATTCAGTGAAGGGAGCCTTTTCAACAACGAATTTATTAGCAAGATGTTCAATCATATATGTATATGGTTTTATTGATCACCCTATCTCTACAGGCTTCGCCTTTAAAGGCGTCTACAAGACGAAAATTAATTTGCCTAAATCACTGTGTATCCAACTCATCTGTAGCACTTCTGAAGTTTGGCCGTCGAAACAGAAAAACAGGATCTCTGTATACAGAAGAAGTTCCTTCAACCCTTCCAACTTTCATGGTCTTAATCCCTCTATGCTAAAGTATGGTAATCCCTAATCATATTTTGGCTCTATCAATTTTTTTCGTTTTGTTTATTCAATTTGTATACTCTTCCTTTATTACGTCAGTTGCTACTGCTATTACTATTCTCACTTTGAACTGTCCCCGGTATTATTTCACTCCTTCCAATTGTCAATTTTCTTTTGCAACGTTAAATTCTATGTTATCAAATTTTACACAATGTTACGTAATGGTTTAATTTTTATTCTATTTGCCTATTAATTCTGATTTTTCACGTCCTTTCCATGTTCTACATATCCTATGAATTATTCTGTATATGACATTAATTGTTTTGCTACTTCACACTGAACTATGATTATAATCACAAACATTTTAGTTTTAATTTCATTTCATACTATTAGCATTATTTCATGCATTCACACCTATGATTCAATTTCCTCACTGGATATAATTTCTTAAAAAGAGCCAAGTATATACGATTGTGCAGCTTGATAATAAATTCGTTGTTGAAAAGTGTCTCTTCGTTGAATATCGTTTGCTTAATATACAACAGCAACTATCCACGTATTCCAGTGGATACCTCAACATCATTTCAGTTGCTATACATGATTTTGTAACCTCATGGACATTTTCCCCTCATAGGCCCTAACTATTAGAGAAAAGGAATTCAGCTGATTATTTCATCACGTTTATCTACAGTTGTGTGGAGATGCAGAATCATCTATTTGAAGACGTTTGTTTTGTTTATAACTCGTCACAGAACTAAACCTATTCAGTACTTCTGAATTATTTCCTATTACTCTAACCCAAGTTTAATAAAGTTATTTAGTATACTCTGGAGTTATTGAATTCATTGAGGATTTTTTGGTGAATTCATCTTCTACTCTGGATTACTTGATATCTCGAAATATGATCAGTTATTCATTTTCACTTTGCGGTCGTACTTAGAGTTATCGAAAAAACCAAAAGCATACTTTATGACGAGTCTAAATATTGCACAAGTGATTTTGTCACATCCCATACCATATACCGATTTGCATTTGTGTGTGAGCACTCCCAAACTGGTTAGAAAAACAAATAAATTATGAAACCTCGATGAACGCATGTGACATACTACTGAATTAGTCTTTAGCAAAGTATTTAATTGATTTGAATCAGTTGGAGGATTTCATCATGAGCTGACATCAGTTAGAGAACCATTAGAGAACCTGAGAGTACTGGACAGCTGTTTCATCCTAGTTTGGGACCCTTCATCAGTACTCACCCACCGCCACCAAGGTTTGAACCCAGGACCTTCTGGTTACAAGGTAAGCTCGTAGATCATTAAGCCACTGGGACCCGATCCAATAAATAGTCTATGTATTCCAACTTCTGCCAATTCGCAACATAGCGCGACCACTTCACAATGTCTTTTTCGATGAGTTACTTCCTCACCTTCAACCTACTGTACCCTACTGGTCACGGCTTCCCATTAGAACCCCAGGTAGCTGCCTGAATAGGGCCAGTTGTTAGCCAGTATCAGATCAATTTTCAAGTATTGGTTTTGTAAGGATTTTGTTTGATTGGTTGGAGGATTTCATCATAAGCTGGCATCAGTTGAATCACAAGACTGATATCAAAACAACTTTGAAGAATTACTTGTTTTTAGTTCAGTTTTAATTTTTCCCGTGATCGATTGCACCGCAGTGCTTGGCCTTTTTTGAAATGTCGGATCCTAGTGCGGATGCTTCGATGCTGTCTGAGAATTAACTTGAAGTATTGTGGAAAGTAACTAGAGGTGGGATCAATGATACGTATCTCCTCCTATTTGGGACTACTTGTCAACTGGATGTACCTACATTCTCCAGTTAGTGGTGGTGCCCCCACTGAGGCTGGAACCCAGTGCCTATAGTTTCAAATGCCAAATGACGCGTCGACGATGTCTGAGGATTCAGTCGAAGTAATTTTGGTAGACAGTAATTAGTAATGAAATCCAGGATGCGCATTTTTTTCATCTGGAGTTTGTAACGATGGGAACAACATGATTTATTCGGAAATTCAGGCAAATCCAGATGAGGAGTCCCGTATATGACGAAATGGTGGTCATCCTGGATTTCACTGCTAGTCACCATCCACCAAATTACTTCAGCTTTCAAGATTATCTGTAAAAACATTCAGGGGTGCTTACTGAAATGCATAAAGGTGGTAGCTATCCGTAAACTTAGTGACTGAATGGTAGACGAACTCGTTGATAACGTGAAAGTATTAGGTCCAGCCTCCAGTGAGGTGAAGAGTCTCAAAGTACAACGAAACACTTTGCCAATGTCCCTAAGTTGGGTGAGTCAAACTAAAAACACCCAGTAGGCGCGTACGCACCAAAGGCCTAGGAACTATCAGTCATAACATGACACTGAAAACATGTAAATGACACTAAATTCATTGAAGAAGGTATTGAATAAATTGTGATAGTATTAATCAAAATATCTGGTTAGTTTAAGCTCGTGTTAGGGGAAGAACAAGGTTAGATTAACCCAATTAGGGAGATGCTAGAGTTGGTCAGGATTGAGTAACACGTTCAAGTTTACTTCTCAGCTCAAGGTCTCGATCCTTGATCACTGGAGCGTGCACGCCTCTTAGGTGTCTAAACTTTACATCCTAGTTATCCTGATAATTGAAGTCATCTTATAATCACATGTTTAATAAGTGTTATTTTATTATATAACCCCTATTCATTTTGCTTAAACAATACAATAAAATTACGTAATGCAGAAAGCGTTAATTAGGTAGAAACTAACATAAAATTATTAGAATTGTATAATTTTAGATAACAAATTTCGTTAATTGGTTAGAAACTAAAGTAAGATTAAATAAGCAAGTTGAGTGACGTAATCTAATTGATGGGGTTGAGTAGAGCTCAGCTAAAATTATAACTAGACAAAAGTCAAGTTAACAATAGTGGCAAAATAAAAACCTCTTTACCTGAACCTACAATTCAATGGAGACTCGTCAGCAGAAATACTGAGAAACCACCTGTCCCACTCACTAAAGAAAACCTTCTTCCCGACTGAACTCCGACTAACATTCTCTACGAAACCAGTGATTCGAATAAACGTGAAGGGTAAGCTAGCATTGCTGGCTAGCCTCATCAATACGCGTCTACCAATTCACCTGCTCATTTGGAGCTAGGTATGTCGGCCGTACCTAGAGTTTACTATCCAAACGTATCATCGAACATTAACCTTCATGGTTTTATAAAGGAGAAAAAAGGTCTCCCCGAAGCTCTGGAACATCTGATGGAAACGGAACGGGACGAAAAGCAAACCCGCAAACCAATTTCAAAGTCAACTACAGAATACGTGGGGATGTTGCTAATATTATTGATATAAGTATAAACCTTAGGCACTGTGGTAATAGAGTATAACTCCATTATGGATAAGATTTTATTTTGATAAATCACACAGTGTTGTTATGTAGTAATATTAACTGATGACCACGTTTCGAGCATAAACTATTGCTCATAATCATATCAAGTTACTCACACAACTTTTTTCCTACATGTTTGGAATTAACTAGATATTTGAATAAAAATCAATATGAGATAATGTACATTCAGAAATAATAAAATATGAGTGTTATTGATCAGTTACAATCAGATGGGAAATAAGACGAGTGTTTTTATAGTCATAATAAGTAACTTGTTAGAATGTTGTGATGTGCTTGAATTGAAATAGAATTTTAAGATTATTTATTATCCTCCTGTGATTTGACTGACTGGTGGTAATAATATCTTCCATATCTCTGGTATTTGCATTGAGTCATTTCTGTTGCATGTGTTGGGTGCAGACTCAATGAACCAGGCAGGATTCAGTAATCAATGTCTCTCTCCACCTACATAGATTACTTCTTAGAATCTTAACCCTCTCCCACCCACCCTATTGTGTGGTTTTGTGTTGGTAATATAGTACGAGGCAAACTTCTTCAAACCTCAGAAGTAATGGGAATTCAAATATGAGATCCTGAATTTTCCGTACAAAAGAAGTTTGTTCAATCATTGAATCTACAGTGAACCTTGCTTGTTTGTTTCTTAATTGTATAATGCTCTCTTCCCTCACTCCCTGTTAAGTCTCTACCTTTTTTTACCACTGTTTTTAACTTGACTTTTGTTCAATTTTACTTTTAACTGACCTCTACTCAACCCCATCAATTAGATTACGTCACAATACAATAAAACGCAAACAAAACAATAAAAAAGATAACCAAACTTACATAAATATTGTCTAAATCCTGTCAGTGTTAATAAAATCAACAGAAGTACACTTGTAAATTGATAATTAATCCGATCTATCTGATCATCATCCCCGTGCAGTTGACTAGATCCAACACGTGCCCATTTCAACAATGTCAGTATAATAGTTGGATCACTATCAAGTTTTCTTGCATGTCTTGAATACCCTCTACTCAATATTGGAGAATGATTAAATCCTGCTGCACCACCACCCCCACCTGCTAACTCACAATCATAATCAGTACATGATGTATAAAAATATGGATTTTGTAATAAATCTCTATCATAGTCGAAATCATCCAGGATAATATCATTATGTAATAGTTTATCATGATGATGATGGTGGTGATGGTTATGATGACTACTATCCACAGCTAAACATTCAGCAATGAATTTCTCCTCTTCATTGTATAATTGTGTTTCTAATGAACATGTATTGATTGAATCTGTCAGGGCATTATGTCCTGGTTTCTCTGGGAGTTCATTCAGACTTACTCGTTCACCTAAACGATCATCATCTGGACATACTGATAACGATGATGATGATGACCATTGATTAATCACAATCGGGGAATTCATTTTATGTGGATGTGTAGAATCTGTGGGTACAGCTAGTGAACACTGAGATGTAGTCATGGCAGTTGGGTGCTTTTATTTCATATTTTCTCCCGCCATTTCAGATGATATATATTTGAATGAAATGCAAAGTCATGATTTTTAGAGTATTACATTTAAATTACATAATACATGATTAAATTTTCAGGAAAAAATATAATTTAAAAAGGAATTGAAGGCAGCCAGTTTTGCATTGTTAAAAGTAACTTTTGTGTATACAAAAGAAGCCAAACAATTTTGATTGGATAACAATGTTTCAAAAGGATTATTTTTGTCCAATCAGAATTAACTAGTGTAGAGTATATTTTTGTTTTTAACCAATCAGAAAACTTCATAAATGATATATTTGATAGCGAGTTGACATCGGTGAGAGGATCATTAGAAAACCAAAGAATCCTAGACAGCTGCTTCGCTCAAGTCTGGGTCTTTACAGCAGTAAGCACACATCAAGATTCTAAACCAGGACATTCCGCTTACATGGCGACCTCGTAGCCAGAGAAACTGGCTCGCTATTGTACTATATATCGCTAACTGTCAGAAGTTGGTTGAAATGGTCAAGCAGCTCATCTTTTAAACGAGAAATCATGGCTTTGAACTCCAGTGGGTGAGTAGTGTGGAAGAATCTCACCTAAAAACGGAGGTCAGTTCTTGACCAAACCTGTAACCTTTTCAATCCCTGCATACCAATAACCGAAAATTCTCATTTAATAGTGTGAAAAAGTTTGCGCATTGGGGATATGATATCGATTATTAAACGAGACATTTCCATATTTTGATTGGACACTAGTATCTAGTATGATGCGTCTGGTCCTTTCTTTGTTGAAGACTGAATTTTATCAGTCAGGTTTGTAATGTGGCCACCAGTTCAGGTAGCTTGTCATCACGGTGCACTTTTTTTTTATCCTTCACGTTCCCTGGTGGAACATAGGGCTTCAAGCTGGTGGCTTGAAGTTTCTTTAGCAGTGTTTATTTTTACAGGATGGGGTTGCTAGCCCCATGCTTAACCTTTCCTCTTTACTAGCATTATTTCTGGCTTGGCGAGGTAAAGGAGTGCGTCGGCCGGGGATCGAACCCCGGACCATGTGCGTGGTCGGCGAGCGTCCTAACCGCTATGCCACCGACGCACAACGGTGCACTTTAGTTTGATGATATTATATGGTTGGAAGCAATCGGCAGGAAGCCTTGGATCTAGGTTTCGTGCTAGTTGGCACTCACCAGTCAGCAGTGGGGCTGCAGTCAGAGACGTTACCACTGAGGTCAATCGCGAGCCCGAATACCACAGTGGTAACGTCTCTGACTGTAGCCCTACTGGTTAACGCGAGATCGAATCTCAGAAGAAACATGAGTTCCTTCAGGGTCGCAGATACGCCTTGCTGACTGGTGAGTGCCAACTAGCACGAAACCTAGATCCAAGGGTTCCTGCCGACTGCCTCCAACCATACAATATCATCGAAACATTTCCATATTTCCTAATGAATGAAAATGCGAAAACGATACTGCTTTTAACGACGTTCCGCTTTTCAAAATACCGCTAATAATCCCCGTCAAAGTAGTAATATTTAACCAGAATTCATAAAATCTCAGCTTGTATAAAGTAATTTATTCATAGTTCTTCTTCATGAGGTAATTTTTATATTGATTTCTCGTGGAGTAAGAAAAAAACTGTTGAAAAATCGTGAGCTATAGGTCTGTACGCCTTAATGGATTCAGGTCACAGAATTGATTTTGATAATGCTGCGTCGATGGCACAGCAGTTAGGATGCTCGCCGACAGTGCACATAGTCTGGAGTACGATCGCCGGCAGACGCACACCTGATATCCACAGACGGCCTGCTAAATTTAGGCTACCGATGTCATATACTGAAAATTCCATACCTGTACCAAAATACTGTGTGGAATCAAGCTTTAATAAAATGTAAAATAAAAAATAGGATCAAATCCAGAAAAAAACAGAATATTGAGCAAAGAATATCCTTCTCGATAGTTTCCTCTTCAGGTTCTACAATTATATGTATATGTTTGCATGCATAGAATATTCTAGGATGGTCGTCATGCTTTCGCTATGATGTTTTAGCTGTCTGGAATTTTGTTTTAAGGGGTAAGCATCTGCAGAGGCTAGGACACCATTTTGTGGCTCTTCCATTTCCTGTCGACACCCACAGACCCTGAGTCTTTAGTTCAGCTATACTAGTAGGATAAGTTATAAAGTCTTTCCACTGAATAACCTTCCTATTACATTTATTCTACTCAGATATAGTATTCATTAAAGGATCTAACTAAGTAACTGAGTCTTTTTGATTTGTATTTCATTATCCATGCTTACTAACTGACTGGGCAATTTGGCATATTACGTTTAGTAAGGCTGGTATAGTATAGCTAACCAATGGCACAAACTCTGCCTTAAGTGTTTATCAAATTCAAAAAGCTGTGCATGGTTTGCTACCTTTATCCACTTGACAGTATAAAAATTCATGGAAAATTCCTATTACGGCACATAGAAAATGCAGAGAAGAGACTCCTTTCAACAGAGTTTATTTTCAAGAATTGGTTTTTAGGGATTTAGTTCGATTTGTTTGAGGGCTTCGTCATAAGCTGACATCAGTTAGAGAACCATTGGAAAACCAAGTGGAAGTGGTCGATAGCTGTTTCGTCCTAGTTTGGGACTCCTCGTCCATACGCACTCACCGCCGAAGTTCAAACTCGAGACCTTATGGCTACAAGGCGAGCTCGTAGACCATTAAGCCACTGGCTCCTGATCCAATGACCAGCGCAAGAATTCTAACTTCTACCAATTCATGGCATAGTGCGACTAATTCGCAATGTCTTCTTCGATGAGTCAGAGGTGAGGCAGTATCTCATCGAAGAAGACTGCAAATTAGTCGCACTATGCCATGAATTGGTAGAAGTTAGAATTCTTGCGCTGGTCATTGGATCAGGAGCTAGTGGCTTAATGGTCTACGAGCTCGCTGTCGAGCACTTCCAGTTGGTTTTCCAATGGTTCTCTAACTGATGTCACCTCATGATGAAATCCTCCAACCAACGAATTTATTATCAAGCTGTGCAATCGTATATATATACATATATGTTTTTTAGGAAATTAATGCCAGTGAGGGAATTGAATCATAGGTGTGAATACAAAATAATAATAATAATATGAAATACAATTCAAATGTTTGTGATTATAGTCGTAGTTAAATGTGAAGTGGAAAAACAATTAATGTCATATATAGTACAATTCACAAGAGTTATAGAAGCAACAAAAGAGGTGGAAGTAGAGCTATGAGAAGCGTGATCATTGAACATCTGGTCGACACTGATCACCCTATCTCTACAGCCTCCGCTTTTGAAGGCATCTACAAGGCGAAAAGTAATTTACCCAAATCACTATGTATCCGACTCATCTGTTGCATTGCTGAAGCTTTGGCCATCGAAACAGAAAAGCCAGATCTCTGTATACAGAAAAAGTTCTTGGAATCCCCCCCCAACATTCATGGTCTTAATCTCTCTATGCTAAAGTATGGTAATCCCTAATCATATTTTGTCTCTACTTATTCGTATACTCTTCCTTTATTACGTCAATTGTTACTACTATTACTATTCTCACTTCGAATTGTCCCCGGTATTATTTCACTTGTTCCACTTGTCATTCTAAATCAATTTTGTTTTGCAACGTTAAATTCTTTGTTATCGAATTCCACACAATATTACGTAACATTTTCATTTCTATTCTATTTGCCTACTAATCCTTTAATTGCACACCTCCTTCCAGTTCTATTATTATTGTTTCCTTAAATTCCAAGAACATAGGGCTTCACCGTGCGCTCCATTGCTTCGTTCCGCAGAGTTTCACGGCTCCAAGTCTGCCCACACGTTTTCATCTCCTCTTCACATACCTCCTCCAAGTCACCCACCCTCCACTACGACCAACTCGCCGCATCTCGGTTCCACTCGACAATGGCTTGTCTAGGATGTCACTTGATGGTTTCTCAGAGTATGCAGCAATCCATCTCCATTTCTTCCTGCCTATTTTTTTCACAATGGTTCCTGTGTTGGTTCGCTCATTGCCAGAGATCTCTGTTCTGATCTTTCTGGCCGCCATCTGATCTTGAGGGTATTGAGCGAAGACAACTGTTAATGAAGGTCTGTAGTTTGTTGAGTTGCTCTTATGACACGCAGTGCAAGTCTCTGATCCGTATAGTAGCACCAAGTTCTGTACATCCTATGAATTATTCTATATATGACAATAATTGTTCTGCCACTTGACATTTCACTGAGATTATAGTCATAAGCACTTTAATTGCATTTCATAATACTATTATTACTTTGAGTATTCACACCTATCATCCAATTCCCTCACAGGATATAATTACTTAAAAACTGCCATATATATATATATATACTATTGTACAGCTTGATAATAAATTCGGTGTTGAAAAGAGTCTCTTCACTGAAGCACTTGTTTTGATTTTCTAAATATAAAAATTAATTCATGCGGAAGAACTATGAACAAACTACTATAGAGAAGCTGAAATTTTGTAAATTCTGGTTTAATAGTGAGTGTAACTTTAATGAGGGTGTTTGTGATGTTAAATAGCAAAACGTCAGTAAGCAGCAATTTGGATTTGTTTTCTCATTCCCTGGGGAAACACAAAATCCGTAATGGTAATGCCATTTAAGTAATCACTGAATGTTACAATAAGAAATTAGTTAAGCAAAACTATTTGGAATAATTTTTAAGTGGTTTCATGAGTGAAACGCTGAAAACTTTTACTAGGAAGAAAAACAGTAAGTTTTTCCTGACTTTTTCCCCAAACGATTGTCTACATCATGGAATGAGTTTCTCTTCATGAAATATGAATGAACTTGTCAAAGAAAAGTCATGACAGATGTTAGTCTTAATGTTTGCCAACTGTGGCTAGACTACAACGAAAATAAACAGATCAACTGACTAGCTTTCAAGTAGTTCGATTTCCTTCTTCAAAGTGAAAAGAAACCTGACTTATTATTTTGTACATATACATGTGAAAATTAGGAAGGGCTGTCTTGCGCATAAGTGAACAGTATTTGTCATTCCAAAACACATTTTGAAACATAAATGGGATCTGATTAACTGACATGTATGTGTACATTTCTGGTCCACTGAGGGAGAGGGCTCTCGAGTGGATGATCCTATATGCC